CCCAGCTTGCTGACTGCAGAGCTCACAGAGCTGCACCTGCGTCTGAGGTCACGTCCATTGGAGGCCCGAGCGGGCGGGGGGACGTTTGGAACGATTGGATGTCATCTGGGGTGGAATCCGCCGCGCCTCAGCGCCTTTGCTGCGATCAAAGGGGATCAATACTGAGGGCTCTCCCCCTCCGCTCCTCGGGGCCCGGAAAAAAGTGGCGTGTCGTCTTTTTTCTTCCTTCAGGAAGGTGGGGAAGAAGGGGGAGGGGGAGAGAGAAACACCGATGTGAGAGAAGCACATCCATGGGTGGTTTCTATCTCTCCCTCTCACTTCCTCTCTGAAACCGATAGACACACATCAACTGGTTGCCTCAGGCACACACCCACCCTGACCCACCCTGACCCACCCTGACCGGGGCCAGGGATCGAACCTGCAACCCAGGTGCGTGCCCTTGGCCGGGAATCGAACCCACCACCCTTCAGTGCCAGGGCCGGCGCTCTAACCACTGGGCAACACTGGCCAGGGGCAACACTGTGTTATTTTTCACATGAACAACTGTAACCTTACTGTTGCCCCGCTCTGTATGGACCGTACGAAAGGGTGTGGAGTCACCAAGGAGTAATCGCTCCCCCCCTCTCCCCTCTCCCAGCGACCCTGCCGGCCGGGCCCCCTCCCTGATCCAGTCCTCCGGCCTCACACCTGACCTGCATGGGCAGGGAGGACCGATGAAGCTGGCTGTCCTCGTATTTGCAGGAAAAAAAACACACAAAAAAACAAAAAAAAACTGGCTCTTCCCGTAAACACCCCAACCTGGGCCTCTCCCCCACCCGCCTTGGCGCCTGCCCCTTCCTTGTTGGGTGCCACAGCTGTTCTGTTTGTTAGTTTGTTTTGAATATATTTTTATTGATTTCAGAGAGGCAGGGAGAGGGGGGAGAGAGAGAGGCATCAATGATGAGAGAGAATCAGTGATGGGCTGCCTCCGGAGAGAGAGAGGCATCCGTGATGAGAGAGAATCAGTGATGGGCTGCCTCCTGCACGCCCCCTACTGGGGATCGAGCCCGCAACCCGGGCAAGACAGAGGCCTTCGGAGAGCAGTGACCCGACGTGCAGGGGTCGTCTCGTCACACACAAGGGCATGTGGCTGCTCCCGGGAGGGCCGTCCGTCCGTCTGTCCCCCAGGCCACATCCTTTCCCCAGGCTTCCTTGGACCCACGCCCCCTCAGAAAGGAGGGACCCCCTGGGGAGTGCGATGTTCTCAGCTGACCTCTGCCCAGTCCCCACGCCGGACCCGCGTGCCAGGGGTCGTCTCGTCACACACAAGGGCATGTGGCTGCTCCCGGGAGGGCCGTCCGTCCGTCCGTCCGTCCCCAGGCCCCATCCTTTCCCCAGGCTTCCTCGGACCCACGCGCCCTCAGAAAGGAGGGACCCCCTGGGGAGTGCGATGTTCTCAGCTGACCTCTGCCCAGTCCCCACGCCGGACCCGCGTGCTTTCCTTGGCTCCCGCGTAGCCCTGGAGCGGACATGACCTCCTGGCTCATGGGTCGGTGCTCAACCACTGAGCCGCACCAGCCAGGCTCTTTCCAACAGCCAGTAAAAGAGCAAGACAGAGGCCTTCGGAGAGCAGTAACCCGACGTGCAGGGGTCGTCTCGTCACACACAAGGGCATGTGGCTGCTCCCGGGAGGGCCGTCCGTCCGTCCGTCCGTCCCCAGGCCCCATCCTTTCCCCAGGCTTCCTCGGACCCACGCGCCCTCAGAAAGGAGGGACCCCCTGGGGAGTGCGATGTTCTCAGCTGACCTCTGCCCAGTCCCCACGCCGGACCCGCGTGCTTTCCTTGGCTCCCGCGTAGCCCTGGAGCGGATGGAGCGGACGGAGCGACCGTTCGTTCTTAGAGATTCCCGCTCGCCCGAGGGGCGGGGAGCACGCCGTTTGTTTATGGAGGAGTGTTTTGGTGTAGACCTGGCGTGACACTCGCTCAGCTGCTTCGGGACGCGTGACCCTGAATGGACACCCTATTCTCGTCTCCAAGCGCCAGGGTGCAGGTCCAAGGAGGTGCTGCCTCTGGGAGCAGGAGGACCTTCTTAGAGAGGGTCCCAGAAGGCTTTTGTGGGCTGCAGGGTTTTGTGTGGCTTTTTCAGAGATGTTTTTATTGATTTCGGAGAGAGGAAGGGAGAGGGGGAGAGAGAGAGAGAGAAGCATCCATGATGAGAGAGAATCATGGATCGGCTGCCTCCTGCACGCCTCCTACTGGGGATCGAGCCCACAACCCAGGCATGTGCCCTGACCGGGAATCGAACCGTGACCTTCTGGTTCCTAGGTCGATGCTCAACCACGGAGCCACGCCGGCCAGCCGGGCGGGATGCTGGGTTTTGGAAACAGTTTGGAGGACTGTATTCACGACTGACGTCCTGTTTCTTGTCTTGCAGATCGGGAACCTGGAAAACTACTACCACTTTTATCACAGCAAGACCTTCAAGAGGTCGACCTTGAGCAGCAGAGGCCCTCACACCTTCCTCCGAATGGACCCCCAGGTACAGCCCGCTCCCTGGGCAGGGTGGGTGCCTAGGGTGTTGCTGGCTGTTTTGTTTTTTTAATATATTTTTACTGATTTCAGAGAGGAAGGGAAAGGGACAGAGAGAGAAACATCAATGATGAGAGAGAATCACGCCCAGGTTGCGGGCTCCATCCCCAGTGTGGGGCGTGCAGGAAGCAGCCGATCAAGTATTCTGTCTCATCATTGACGTTTCTCTCTCTGTCCCTTTCCCTTCCTCTCTGAAATCAATTTTAAAAAATCCTATCTAATAAAAGAGCAATATGCAAATTAACCATCACTCCACGACAAAGATGGTGGCACCCATAGCAGCCGGGGCAGGACGCTGGTGGCGTCACCCCAGCAACGTGAGCCCAGCAGGCAAGTGCGCCGCCCGCAGGCAGCACCCAGCAGGGCCTGCTTGGCCATCCCCGTGGTGTGGAGCAGGCAGGCCCCGCAGAGAGCACAGAACCACGGGGAGCGGGCCCAAGCCGTCAGTAGGACATCCCCTGAGGGCTCCCGAATTGGAGAGGGTGCAGATTGGGCTGAGGGACCCCCCATCCCACCCTGTGCACGAATTTCGTGCACCTGGCCTCTAGTATTAAAATAAAAGTAAAATACTATATTCAGTTTGAGTGTGCGGGCAACATATTGCCAATTGTGTCCTCGAAGGAAGGAGATGAGAGTAAGAAAATATTTCCTAGGCAAAGGCCCTGGCATTTAGGATTTCTCCAATAAACATCCCTTTTCTACAGGACTTCTTTTTTTCAATTGATTTCAGAGAGGAAGGAAGGAAGAGGGAGAGAGAGAAACATCAGTGATGAGAGAGAATCATGGTTCAGCTGCCTTCTGCAGGCCCCGTAATGGGGATGGAGCCCGCAACCCGGGCATGTGCCCTGACCGGGAATGGAACCGTGACCTCCTGGTTCATAGGTCGATGCTCCACCACTGAGCCACACCAGCCGGGCTACAGGACTTCTGAACAGACTCTTGGCAGGGCGGCTATCGGAGCATCCTTGCAGCCAATAAAGAGGAAAGAGAGAAGGGAGTGGCTGGGCGTTCCACCGATGCCCGTTGTGTCTGGCGGCTCTCACTCCGAGTTCGGCCCCGGAGAGCGGGATGGACAGCAGGGCCGGGCAGCCTCTGCGGAAACCGCCGGGTTTCCATGCAGACCCAGCCCCTTCGCTGTTGGTCCGACTCATCACCAGTCCTCCTCCTTGTTCTGATTAAATACAGGCTGTTCCCCCCAAAGTGTATACCAATCTCACAGCTGACAGCTCAGTTTTGAAAATGAAATGTTCTTGTTCCCATTGATTTTTAGAGAGAGAGCGGAAAAGAGGGGGAGAGACAGAGAGAGAGAGAGGGAAACATCGATGTGAGACACACCGATGGGTTGCCTCCGGTAGGTGCTCCGACCGGGGCCGGGGATCGAGCCTGCAACCGAGGTACCTGCCCTTGACCGGAATCGAACCCAGGACCCTTCCGTCTGCAGGCCGACGCTCCAGCCACTGAGCCACACCGGCCAGGGCAGCCAGGCCTTTTTTGCAACCGCTTCTCGTGTGGAGAGCTCTGTTGTTAACAGGATTATGAAAAGGCAAAGACGATGTAAGATTATTGAGGGGCTTGGGGACGCCAAGTCGCCGGCGTGTGGGGATGACCGAACAGGAAATGAATGTTATGGAGCCGAGGGTAAAGGTCGGTCGAACGAACGCAGGCAGCATTTCACTTTCATGAGCTCCAGTCCCCATTGTATGTATCAAGTGCCTCGGAAAGGGATGGAATTTACAGCGCACCCCCCGCCTCCCAGAAGTACTGATAGCGCGTCCTTTTGTCAAAACAAGAGGAGGAGGAAGAGTTCAGACAGCTTTCGTCACCGGCTCTCCTTACAGTCTTAATTCCTCTCCCTTGTTTTTTTTTTTTTTACCAAAATGGTAAAACATAAAATTAAATTTAAAAGGCCTTGCCCTGGCCAGTTTGGCTCAGTGGATAGAGCATTGGCCATCAGACTGAAGGGTCCCAGGTTTGATTCCTGGTCAAGGGCACATGCCCGGGTTGCTGGCTCGATCCCCACTCGGGTGCGGGTAGGGGGCAGCCGATCAATGATTCTCTTTCATCATTGATGCTTCTCTCTCTCCCTCTCCCTTCCTCTCTGGGAATAAAAATATATTTCAATAAAAATATATTTTTAAAAATAAAATAAATAAAAGGCCAGTTTGCTCAAAGTACTTTCTTTTTTACAATTCACTTTTAGAGAGAGGAAGAGAGAGGGAGAAAGAGATAGAAACATCCATGATGAGAGGGAATCATGGATCAGCTGCCTCCTGCACGCCCCACACTGGGGATCGAGCCCGCAACCCGGGCTTGTGCCCTGACCGGGAATCCAACTGTGACCTCCTGGTTCATAGGTTGAGGCTCAACCACTGAGCCACACCAGCTGGGCTTGAAGTACTTTCTTTGTGTTTGTTTTTTTTTTAAAAATCCTGACCAGAGGATATTTTTTTCATTGATTTTTAGAGAGAGAGTGGAAGGAAGGCAGAGAGAGGGAGAGAGAAAGAGAAAGTGAGAGAAACATTGATGTGAGAGAGGCACACCGATTGGTTGCCTCATGCACGGACCCTGACCTGGGCCGGGAGTCAAACCTGCAACCCAGGTACGTGCCCTTGAGCAGGAATGGAACTCGGGACCCTTCAGTGCGTGGGCCGAGGCGCTAACCACTGAGCACACCGGCCAGGGCTCGAAGCGCTGTGTTGCTCAGCGCCTTCCTTGGGAGTGCAGCCCGGCTGCTCTCAGGGCCCGGGATCTGTCGCTGGGCTTTTTCCAGAGCCTGTCATTGAAGCAAACTGAAAGCATTTGTTTTTAACTTGTCCTTTGGCCAAACGTCTGGAGAAGGATGGATGTTGCAGAGGCGCCCGGCCAATGGCCGCGAGGCCTCCCACATTTTTCTTAAATTACTCGTTCTGATTCCCTTCCAAGCTGGCGTTGGGACGGTCCGATGTTGCTGCCCGCGTCCTCCAACCCTCACATTTCAGGGTGATGATTCTGGCTCGGCCCTGGCCCGCCCTGCAGCTCCCGGCCAGATGGATGACAGAAATAGAAAGATAAAGATGTTATTCGGCGGCTCCTCCTCCAGCTCGAGGCTTCATTGTAAATATGTTCTTATTGATTTCAGAGAGGAAGGGAGAGGCAGAGAGAGAGCGAGAGAAACATCGATGATGAGAGAGAATCATGGATCGGCTGCCTCCTGCAGGCCCCCTATTGGGGATCGAACCCACAACCCAGGCGTGTGCCCTGACTGGGAATCAACCGTGACCTCCTGGTTCCTAGGTCAACACTCTAACCACTGAGCCATGCCGGCCGGGCTCAAGCCTTCATTTCAGCGATTTCCACGGAGCCTGTGTGTGTGTGTGTGTGTGTGTGTGTGTGAGAGAATCCTCACTCAAGGATATTTTCCCGTTATTTTTTAAAGAGAGTGGAAGGGAGGTGGGCAGAGACAGAGAGAAACATCGATGTGAGAGAGACACATCTATTGGTTGCCTCCCACACACGCCCCGACCTGGGCCAGGGCTTGAGCCTGCAACCAGGGCACGCACCCTTGACCAGAATGGAACCCGGGACCCTTCGGTCCACAGGCCGGCGCTCTACCCACTGAGCCACACCGGCCGGGGCTGTTTCAGCGCCTTCGTTCTCTGGGGTTGCAACATGTTGATTTCCAGGACAGGAGCTGGCGTGCTGTTCCGTAACCTGGGACTTTGCCCACAGAGTTTAATTGGAGCTCGGGTTCCTCCTAGCCGTGAGGCAACACGTCAGCAGGCCTTTCCCTGAACCGCAGCTGGGATGGTACCGGGCGGCTCTGTGTGCTCGGGCCTTGGGACGTGCAAACGAACAAGGAGTTCCTGGCAAGTCCGGGCTGGGAGACAGAGAGTGACCAGGCCGATCGTGGGGTCGACGAACTGGGCCCCGGGCTGGGGGCAGCCACACCTCCACGTACACAGACAAGATGTCGTTTTTCCAACAGGGGTGCCTTCGACATGAAAATGTCTCCTTGGAACTTGACCGTGGGAGACATCGACGAGGACTCAGATATTCATGGAAAACACAGCCGCCCGTAGCACCCATGCGGAAGCTGCACAAAATCAGGGAATCACTTAAATTAAATCCTAACACTGCTCCTGGCCTGAGGGGCTCAGTGGTTGAGCGTCGACCTAGGAACCAGGAGGTCACGGTTCAATTCCCTCTCAAAGGCACATGCCCGGGTTGCAGGCTCCGTCCCCAGTAGGAGGCCTGCAGGAGGCAGCCGATCCATGATTCTCTCTCATCATGGGTGTTTCTCTCTGTCTCTCCCTCTCCCTTCTTCTCTGAAATCAATACACATATATTTAATAAATAAATAAATTAGTTAATTAATTAAATATATCGTAACTGCGTTTCCCCCCAAACAGGTGAAATGGCTCCAGCAACAGGAAGTCAAACGCAGGGTGAAGAGGCTGGTGCGCAGCGAACCCCAGTCCCTTTACTTCAACGACCCCATTTGGCCCAACATGTGGTACCTGGTGAGTGGGCGTTCGCAGGGGCCCTGCTCCCGGGATGGGTTTGTTTCCCCCAGCGAAGCTGAATTCGCACAGTGACTCCAAACAGACAGCCTTCATCTCGAGCGGAAAGCACTTCTTTCACGCTGGACTTGGCGGCCCAAGCTTTCTTGTGAATTATTATTATACTAGAGCAGCGGTCGCCAAGCGGTGGTCCGTGAGGTCCGAAAGGTTGGCGACCCTGTCCTAGAGGCCCGGTGCACGACATTTGTGCACTGGGGGGGGAGGGTCCCTCAGCCTGGCCTGCACCCTTTCACAGTCTGGGAGCCCTTGGGGGATGTCCGACTGACAGCTTAGGCC